GCAAGGTCGGTGGTTCAAGCTCACCAGCTGGTCCTTGGAAACCCTATATAGGATCACTATGAGTCGGAACTGATTCAACAGTAGTTAACAACAACAACATGTTGGTAACATAGTGGTTATGAGTTGGGTTGCTAACCTCAAGTTCAGCAGTTCGAAACTACTAGCGGCTCCGTGGAAAAAAGATGAGGCTTTCTGCTCCTGTAAAGATTTACAGCCTCGGAAACCCTATACAAGGTCACTATGAGTCAGAACCGACTCCACGGCATACCACCACCACCACCATGTTGGAATTTGTCTGCAGTGCCCCTACCCAGGTAGTTTTCCCTCCAGCATTGGATCACCCATGTGAAGGGGTGGGCTCTTGTTGCCAGCTCACTGTATGAAAACCATGTATTTTGAATAGTTAAATCATGCCCAGTGTGCCAAGATTCCCACAGAGTGAGTATTTCTCAGTGTTTGGAACCCACTGAGGGAACAGAGGGTCTCCAGGTCCCACCTCTCTCCTTCCAACTGTCTGTCCTGATGTATGAACACTGAGGGGAGGGAGTGTTCAAACTTACCTTTCTTTTCTTTCTGCTGAGCTTGTGTGTGCTATGTGGGCCCATGATGTGCCCTGCTGTGCATTGTGGGAGTTTCATAATGGGGTGCTGGAGTTAAGCTGATACACTGTGCTCCCTGCCAAGCTGTGTGACATTTGGCAAGTCACTTGACCTTTCTGGGCCTGGGTATCTTTATAACTTGAGACAATAACTCCTTGGAGACTCTTGTGATGATGACATGAAATAACATTTACTTGGCCTGTAGCTGTCCCTCCATCCACATCACCACCTCCTCTTCTGCTACATCCCTGGTAATGGCCTCAGGTACTGGTCTCTGTGTCCCTCTCTCCCAGGTGTTATTCCTCTCTGGAGCAGAGTCTGGCTCCAGGAAGATGCCCAGGAATCAATAAGTCTATGCCCCTGAGCCCAGCCCCCCAGTGTGCAGTGGGAGCCCAGGCTGATGGTGTGGATCTCAGAGCTAAGCTGGGCACTGGTTGCACTCAGCAGTAGGGTGGTTCCAGTGGACACAGGGATGGGAAAGGTGTCCTTTGCAAATGTGACCATTATGTATGCTGACACTGATGTGCCAATGGTTTAAATTCCAGTCCAGCTGTGGCGCTGTAGGATAAGTACTGGACTGCAAGGTCGATTTGAACTGCAAGGTGGTGGTTCAAACCTACCAGCCACTCTTTGGAAACCCTACACAGGATCTCTAAGAGTCAGAACCAATTAGACGGCACGTAACAACCACCACTTTCCAGCTGTGTGACTTTGGGTGTTTTACTTAACCTTTCTGGACCTCAGTTCCCTCACCCACAAAACAGGGTTGATATGAGAATTGAGAGTCTTTAGCATCATTAGTAGCCCCCTACCCCTTACTTACACAGCAGTAGAACCTCTAAGGCCACATGGTCCCTTGCTTTGTGTCTTGTTCCATGGGCTTGGAATGATTTCCAATTTGAGAAGCACTGATCTGGACTCCTGGGGTGGTGCTGTAGGATAAGCACTGGATTGCTAACCAAAAGGTCGGCAGTTCAAACCCACCAGCCGCTTTTCAGAATCCCCTATACAGGATTGCTAAGAGGCGGCCCTTAACCACAATATGGGGGTGAGGTGTATATCCAAGGATTGTGGTACTATAGGTGTGGTACTATAGGAATTTTACAGTTCAGCAAACAGCTAGGAAAGGGTGCCCAGTGATGCAGGGGGACTGGAAGAGGCCGGCCCAGTCCACCCAGGACCTACCAGGGAGAAAGTCCCGGTGATCCACTTTTGAAAACTCAGCCTCTGAAAACCCTGCGGAGTCCAGTTCTACTCTGACATAATGGGGCCGTCATGAGTTGGTGCGGACTGGTTACTATTGGTGACTCTTCCTAGGGAGCATTTATTGCCAAGCCTCTAAGCTGTCTCACTCCCTATGAGATGATTCCTGTTGCCCCTGAGTAGCTTCCCAGTCATAGCAACTCTACTGGATAGTGCAGACCTGCCCTGAACGGTTTCCAAGATTGTCATCTTCATGGATGTTCACTGCCACATCGTTCTCATGTAACTTAGAACCACTGAGCATGCTCCTGGGGCCAGTGCTTAAATTGGGACCACCAGGGCTCCATATGCACTCAGATAAACAAACAGAAGCTCAGAGACATTAAGTGGTTTGCCCAAGGCCATTTCGCCAGGACAGGGTGGAGCTGTGGAGTCCTGGTGTGGCGCTGTGGGTTAATGTGCCAGACTGCAAAGGTGTTTGAACTGCAAGGTCCGCGTTTCAAGCTCACCAGCTGCTCCTTGGAAACCCTATACAGGGTCGCTATGGGTCGGAACCGAGTCGACAGCACTTAACAATAACAACAGTCTGGCAAAAAAAACTTTAGAAACCTCTGGGAGTCTCAGCAGTGGCCCCTCCCCTTGGGATCCCCCATGCAACTGTGGAGAAGGTTCAGAGGCCTGGGGTGGGGGATCACAGTGGCAACCACATCCTGTAACGGTTACGTGGGGTGTGCGTCTACTTTCTCTCCAGCTCTGGGACAGGTGGATGGAGGACAGGTCCCCTGACCCAGTCCCACAGAGCAGGCGACCACAGCCCAGCCTCCCAACACTGACTCCCATTCTTAATCTGCAGGCATAGTGGACACTGGTCATTGTAGCTGGTCTACAAGCAGGATCTCTAAGCCAATAGATGCTGGAGGACTGACCTACATTCCTCCATACAACTTTCACCTGCAGCTTCCATCTTCTAGCCTCATCATCTTGAACACCTCCTCGGCTGAGGAGCTCACTATCCCTGCCGGCAACAGGCCCTCTGCAAGGCAGCTCTGAGCCTAAAATCCCCTCACACTAGCTTCACCAGCAGCCTTCGAAGCTTCTACAAGCCCCATCGGAGTGCATGCAGAGCAACAATGCTGCATGTGTGCAGCAGACCAGGGAGGGGTACGGCTGCTGAATGCATTGCATTTCTGTCTCCTTCAAAGGGCAGGTCCTAAGGCTCCTGTCCCCACCATCTGTCACAGTATCTGGGCCACAATAGGTTTACCAGTTCACCCTAACCTTCCCATCTCTGTAGATAGATAGACTGCCCTGTCATTGCGTCCACCTAACACACACACACACACTGTGTTCTGCTGGTGATGTTGGTTCTTCTGTTCCCATGAAAGATGACTTTTTATAAGATGCACCTCTGCCCCTCTGCTTTCTCTGGACCCAGAAGCATGCTCAGTCCAATCACATAAGGCAGTTTGCATGTGCTGGGGTGTGTATCAGTGCTCCTTGGCCAATGGACCCATATCCTTGTTCTCTTGCCCAGTGGGCAAACCATCTTAAAGGAGTGTGCTACACACCCTTCCAGACATCCCCAGCAGGATAGGGCCCCAGCTATTCATGACACTAACCTGTTCACTCCCAGACTCAGTACATTCTTCCTTCCTTCCCTATCTCTCTTTCTCACTTCCTCATGGATGCTCTGTGAGGTCACCTCCCAAATAAACAACTTGCCCTCACATCTCGTCTCATTAGCTGCAGGATGAATCCGACCATGAGAGACACACACACATGCACCCATGCAGCCTGGGTTTGGTGAGATTTCCAGGATGCTGGGTGCACACAGGTGCTGTACTCTCTCTCACCATCTCCCAAACTACTAATGGACAGAATAGCTACTAATGAATGCCAGGTAAAGTATGCACCTTAGAGGAAGGGGACTGACTACCCGTTGAAGAAACCCAGAACTCTGGTGAGCTATTTTAGTGGGACCAATGAGGGGAGGAAGGCGGCAATGATGTGGAATATCCATTAGGAAATGGTTCCACCCTAAACAAAGACAATGAAAGATGCCTATTGCCCACAAGGGGTCTTTCACGTGTGTGACCTCGTTCACTGTCTGTCTGGTATGCAGACACAGCAGTTCTGTGAGTACTATAGCGGGGGGCGGAGGCAGGTGGAGGGGGGCTAGCATGGATGATGAGAGATAACATCACCCTCCTGGAACCTTGAGTGATACAGATGTTTGCTGCTCTGCTCATCCGTGCTCAGGACAGTCTCTGTGGAACAGGCGCCGGTCTGTGCTCTGCTCCACAGTGTCTTCCCTAAAGCCCTCATGAACACAGTGCAGCACAAAGGACTTGTCACTCCACACTCATTTCCGTCAGCAATTTGGTTTAATCTTGGGATGCTCAGAACAGAACCCCAGAGGCTGCCCCAAGCCTCAACACCAGCCTGAACATGTTTGCAGCTCTGGGTACAATCTTGTACATCCATGGTGTCCACCGGGAGAGTCCCAGCCAGCCAAGCAGATGCCTGGAACTCAGAGCTTAGTGAAGACTCTGGGTCCTCCCAGCAGACACCACTGAGTTCTTGCTCTCACAGGGCTTGAGTCCCCACATCTGGGCTCTGTGGGGCACTGGACTGAGCCATCCTTGCAAACCACAGAGAGCTCAGACTCGAGCTATGCTGGGTAGGGCTTCAAGCATCTCTAGAAGCAGGGCCAGCAGGGTCCACAGCTGTCCAGCTTGCTGTCACCTGGGTGCACCAGGGAAGGTCAAGCACAGTTGGCAAGCTTGAGGAAGCCTGGGTCAGCCCTGACCCTCAGTGTCCATCTGTCAGGTGACAACAGCGTAGCAGGCTTCCTTGGCCAGCACCGGCTTCTGTCCGTCTCAGTACCTCTAAGCCCAGGACTGCCTGAGACTCAGAGTTATTGAAGGGGCTCAGGAACCACCCAGTGCAATCCCTCCACACAGCCTGTCTGTCTGTGAACTCTGCCTGTTGACTTCTCAGAAACAGCACCGTCCTCCTTGGGGCTGGTGTTCGGAGTCAGAGAAGGGCTGTCCCAGCAGGTTCTGTCTGGCACAGAGAGGGCACATTCACTAGAGACTGAGGGGACAGCTTGCGGAGTTTCCTTTCGCCTGTCTAGGAGCCTCCCTGGGGGTGGTCTGGGAGAAGGGATGGGGCAGAGGGTCTGACACTGGGCTCGGTCTAGGTGGCTCCGATGTCATCATAGTCATCGCTGTCGCTGTCGGAGGAGGCAGGCTGGGGGCTGGGGGGACCTGAGGGACACAGAGACTCAGATCAGCCCCAGACCCAGCCGTTGCTCATGCAAGGCTGAGTCCACACCCTCTCCCTGGTAATGCTGCCTGAAACCAGCTGGCTCACTGTTTGCTGTCACCTTCTCTAGAATGTCAGCCCTTGTCTACCTGATACTGTCACCTGTACTGGCACTGGGTATGTGGTGAATGAACTTGCCTGCTACAACAGTCTCTCCAAAGGGGACATCTGACTGCTGCTGCTTGAATGCCTCCATGAATGGGGAACTCACCGTCTCTCAAGGCAGCCTGTTCCATCTCCCTGAATCTTTCTTCATCCCATCCATGTCCATTTCCCTCCTCCTCATATTCTCTTTTTGTTGTTGTTTTTAATTTTTTTTTTTTTTTTAAATCCTTTTCTCTCTCTTTCTTTTCCTTCCCACTCCTTGGCTGATAGCTCCCCACTCTGATCCCCATCCCCGGGCCTCAGGCACCTGGACATCCAAGTTGTTCCACCGAAGGGAGCTCGGGTGGTGGGGGCGGGGGCAGCGGCTGGAAGTTCTGATACCATTCCCCGGAAGATGTGCTGGAACTATCGTCTGCTGAGGGCCCTACTGGAAACCCGGGAACACGTCACCCTCTCTGGAGAGACAGCTGCTGAACACCTGCCAATACTAGGTGGCCCACCCAACTCAGGGATTCAAGCCCTTGCTTGACAAATGAGAAAATGAAGGCCCAGGAAAAATGAAGAGTGCTTGATTGCAGAGCTGGGACTTGAATCCAGAGCTCAGCTGCTCAGGGGACTCTGAGGACACCCAGCTCTGTGCTCCCTCAAGCCCGTGTGACTATGGGGTGGGGGCTCAGGGGATGTGCAGGAACCCTTCTGGGACCAACTTACCTGAAAGAATTGGCTGGGAGCCAGCCAGTTCCAAGTTAGGGGGCTCCTGTAGGAGAGGATTCCTCTCTGAAGAAAAGACTGGGGGGTTCCAGGGAGGCGGCTTACTGATGGGGCTGTTGCAGTAGTCCTCCCCAGAAGATGTGCTGGAGTCATTGTCGGGGCCTGGGTGGTGTGGAGCAGCCAGGGAGGGGGGATCTGCAACACACAACCAGGAGTCGGTGGTTGTGGGGGAGGGTTAGAGACATGGACCCCTTCAAGTATTGGGCCAGGAGCAGGGGAGTGGTGAGGGCAGAGAAGCAGTGCAGCAGGAAAGCTTTAAGTTAGACTTGAGAAAGAACATCCTGCCAGGAGGAACTGTTGAAGCCCTGTGGCAGAAGTTGCTGCTAGTGCTTCTCTGGGAGCTGAGCTCCTGAGAGGTAGGGCTGGTACCCCAATCCCACCTCCCACCCCCCAACACACTCCTCCCCGGCCTGACTCACCTTCCTCCAAGGGAGGCATCTGGAACCTGTTCCGATGGACCTCCTCTTCGGTGACCCGGTGCCTCTGGGAATCTATTAACAGAGGGGTTGATGGGGAAAGTGGAGGCTACACCGTCTAGTCCTGGGAGGGCTAGAGACGAGCTGGGGGTCCTGGGGTCCTGAAGCTGAGGAGCAATGAGAGAAGGCCCCGGCAGGGAGAGGTTCCTACCAGTGAGATCATTCCCATCAGATCCCAGGTCCATACCTCAGCCCAGACAGAGCCCTAACCTCATACTGTGGTATACCCACCCCCATCTGAAACCAGCTCTAGGCAAGCTGCTGTGACCAGAGACCCTGCGCCCTGCAGCCCACCAGTCAGGATCCCCCTGCCACTTGGAAAAGCAACAGGAATCCTGGGCTCTCAGGTGTCCTGGCAGCTGCGGGCAGGACAATGGCAGAAAGCTGTCCTTCAAGGGGCCTCTCTGGAGCAGAAGACAGATGGGCTGGGGTCTTTGCATCACAGACCTCATGACACCCTAGGTGTCAGTTGGAGAAACTTAGATTCCAGGAGTCCTCTAAGCATCTGAGTCTCTGGGATCCTGGATGTATCAACCTCGGTGCCACCAACTTTAGTGTCAATGACAATGAATGTTGGACTCTCAGGGGCTTTAGAATCACACTCAGGACACCCCACTCCTGTGACTTACTGGATTGGCTGAAGTGGAGTCACCTACGTCCCATCTCTTGAGGCCCTGGTTCACTAGCTGCCCCCCAAACCCAGCCTCCTCCCTTTCTTCTATACTTGGAGACCTTCTGGTCTTGAATGGGACCACAGCTGTCCAGGACAGAGGCTGCTTTCAGCTAGCATGTTTATGGTCTGGCCAGTGGAAAGGATGTGGGCATCTCAGATGAGGGACTGCGGAACAGTAGCGGGGAAGGAACCTGACCCCCTTCCAGCTTCCTAGGTCATCTAAGGTCTCTGCCACACACAGCCAAACTCCTCTTTTCCCAGGTCAGCAGTAGGTGTGAACTTGACTCAGGAATCAGAATTTGGGGCATGCTTGGTGACGGTCTCTGGTCTGGTCTAGCCTCTGACACTGACTTTAAGTTTTGTTTTTGTTCTTCCTGCTCCACACCACAACCCAGCAGCAGAGAGAAGAGCTAGAAAGGCCTGGCGATAGGTGATGCTGGGTCACAGTGTAGGGGGAGAAGAGAAGGGAAGGGAAACGGATGGAGGGGAGGGTAGAGATGATGTCCGTCCAGGCAGGAGGGACACTGAAGGGGGCCGTGCAAGCAGAACTGTGTCCCTCCCACCTCACACAGACACACAGTCACTATCAACTGAAGGCTAAGGGCCTGAGGATGGTCTTAAGACCAGAGAAACATGGGAGGGAAAGAAGTCAGAGAGAAAACAAGTAAAAGGAATTCGGCTGAGGCAGCTGTCTCTCAAAACCACTCAGACCACGATCACAAAAACCTAACGCCAGAAATCAAACCACTGTCAACGAATCGATTCAGACTCATAGCAACCCTATATAAGGTTCCCAAGACTACAGATCTTCCCGGGAGCAGACTGCCTCATCGCTCTCCCTCTCAACGGCTGGTGGGTTTGAACTACTGACCAACATCTAACCCACAGAAACACCAAGGCTCCATTTACAGCCAGTCTTGTGGGTAGCAAGGAGACTCTATTCATGTTGTGGAGGTGCCACTTGGGATGGTTCCTTGGGTTGGAGGGTGGACGCTGGGAGCCAGGACAGGGTACTCACTGTAGAAGGTGGTCAGGGCCACGGGGGGCTGGGTACTGAAGTCATAGTGTTCATAGTCAGAGTCAGAGCTAGAATCGGAGTCCTGAGGGACTGGCATCTGGATCTGGGTGGGAAACTTGGAAACTGGGGAAAGAAGAATTGAGTCATGGATAGAATGTCAGGCAGAGAGGCAGGGAGCGTGCCATCCATCCTGGACTTCCCAAGATCCCCACCTCAAAATAGGCAACCCACTTACATACCCTTCCCTGCATACTAGACACTATGAACAAATATTAGTTTGTTTCATCTTCACAACTGCGCATGATGAAGATACATGGCTATTCCCATCTTACAGGTGAGGAACTGGAAGCAGGGAGAGGCTAACCAGTTGCTCAGAGGAGCAGGTTGTCTGGTCCTTCACCAGAGAGCAGTATCCCTGTGCTTGCTGCAGCTGCATTCCCACTGTCTTCTCAAGTATATGGATACTGTGTGCTGAGTACTTATAACATCTGCTGAGTTTTGAATTGGTTTTCCTACCACTGAACTCTTCCAAACAGCAATGACTGAATAGATGTATAATGCAGTAGGAATAAATTCTATTGACTAGGCAAGAATTTTAAGAGGTATCAATGTAGAGACCTATTCCTTTTTTTTTTTTTTTCATTCAGAAAATCTGAAATAAAATGATGTTACAGGCAAATCTTCATAGGGAGGCTGATTGATGGTTGCAATCACTAGACCAGTTAGTTCAGGAGTATATTCCTCTAAGAACCAAGGTCAAAAATGCCCAGGTCCTACGTTGGTCCAGAACTTAAACACTTATGCAAAGGGTCATCTGCGCATCAAAGCCCAGAGAAGGCTTGAACCTGCTCAAGGTCCCACAGCCACTAGTGGGTTGGCCCGGGTCTCAGCTCCAGAGGACACTGTTTAGATTCAAGCAGAACCAACCCTCCAGAAAGCACACCTTTCTGTTCTCCCCAGTCCTCCCCACTTCCACAATCCTACCTTCTTCCTTGGGGATGGTGATGGGGGCCTCTTGGTAGCTGTTGGTCCCTGTTGGAGTGGGAGCAGATGGGTGCTGGTGGTTCACCATAACAGGGAGGGCTGAGGGAGGGGAGAAAGAGTGTCTATAAGTCATGACAAGCCCTTTTGTGCCCTCTCCCACCATACCTGGTTCTAGTCTCACTAAAACACCTTTCTCTTGAAACCCACTCTCCACACAGTCTTCCTCTCTGGTGGCTCCACCTCCTTGGGGCATGCTGAGAGAATCTCCGCCATCAGGAGATGCTTCCTAGAGCCAGTGCTAGCTGGACTCATTGCTGGACCATTGCCCTCCTTGTTGGGTTCCCACAAATGCCCGTGATCCTCTGAACTAGCTACACCCCAGGCCTGCTTCTTTCTGTCACCAGACCTGCCCCCTGCTTCCTAGAACTCTGTACCTACCGTATTTTCCTTTAACTTTCAGGAGGAGGAAGACTATGGAAATGAGCGAGCCAAGGAGGAGGATTCCCAGGATGATGCAGGAAATGAAGAGAATTAGCTCCCAGGATTCCTTGCCCTCTACTTTCACTGTCACAGAAGATTCTAGAAGCAAGAATCCCAAATCAGGGAGAAAGTGAAGCAGGCAGACTTCTTTTCTCCCTTCTTCTGGACTCTCCATTCCCCTCTACAACTCCAATCTTCCTCTTCCCTTCCTTCTGTCAGTCTCTGCCATCTGCTTTTAGATGTCAAGTATGTAGTTGGTGCTCACTAAATACATATTGAATTAATGGGTAATTGATTGAACGAATGTATTACCTGGTACATTCCCCTCTCTTGGTCTCTAGTGTCATTATTTTATGGACCACGAAGTCTTTGTTCTACAGACAATGACTGAGTACCCACTGTATACCTATGTTGTTGTTAAGTGTCATTGAGTCAGTTCCGACCCACAGCGACCCTGTTTAGTTTTTTGGGTGTTTTTCTGAGTTAGTGTGCTCCAGACACTAGGATCCAGGGATACAAATATGATGACATCATCACAGGTCTTTGGGGGCCTTGTCTAGTGAGAGGTCGACAAGAAGACCCAGTCCAAGATGGCAATGGCTACTGTTACAGAGAGGAGTGGGGTGGTGAGCAGAAAGCTCCACAGAGGATGATGCAGACTTGAAGCCACCCTCACAGGGAAGAGACCCTCAGGAGGGTGAGATCCTGTTTCTGTGCCTGGGACTCACATTGCAGCCCCTGCTCGGCTGTTTCTCCCTGCCCCTCCCATACCTGGCCCACCTCTGCTTAAAAGACCCAGAACACAGGATGGTTGGAGGTTGAAGTAGGGCCCTAGGGGCCCTCATCCACTCATTGAAGGTAGTGACAGCATTGTCAGGGAGGGCAGGAGCTGACTGCCTGAGGAGGAATGGGGTGAAGGGGGGACAATGTCTGACTTCACTTTCCCCTCCCCATTTCCATCTGTGCCTGACAGCGGCTGGGCTGTGAAGGGGAGACTATTGGAATGAGGGCCCAGAAGGCTAGGCTGACAGCGGGACTGATGGGCAGGACTGTGGGTCCCTGGGTCCATGGAGATGGGGTATCGCTTTGCTCCTGTGAAGCCTCATGGCCCCTGCCCCGACCTCAGGAAGAAAGTGTGAGTGGGCATCGGGCTGCTGGGAGGAGAAAAGGATTCCGAAACAACAGTTATGAAGACTGGCCTAGCGCCTAGCACTGGCTCGTACTCTCAGCCGCTGTCACCTGCTGGCTCAGGATCATCCCTAGCTCCAGATGGTATCAGACTAGCTACAGGAGCTCACAGGAGCATGGGGACGGGGACGCAGACTTCTGACCACAAAAATCGGGTCTCTGTGAGCTGTGGGTCTGATGTGAAGGGTGGAGGTGGGGAGGAGAACAAGCCCCCCACCCCAAGACAAGTCAGCAGCAGGCCCCTCCTGGGGTAAACACACACACACACACACACACTGAGAGGTTTCATAGCCAGCAACACTCACCTACAGTGACCGGCTGAAGACTAGTGGGGACTTCAGCAGAGGACAGGTCGTGGGAACCTGTCAGAAAGTACGGCTCATTAACACAACACTTAGTTACTGAGCACCTACTGTGTGCCAAGCCTAGAGCTTAAAGACAGGTGTCCCGCAACTAGGGACAAGTACCCATTTGGGGCAGGACATAGCTAAAGAAGCCCCTGCCCTCCCCCGCAATAAACACTGGGAAGATTCTTGGCTTAAACTAAAGGGGTTCATCCACATTTGTCTATCAGTTTGTGGTACTGTGGTAGCTTGCATGTTGTTAGGATGCTGGAAGCTACACCACTGGTGTTTCAAATACCAGCAGGGTCACCCATGGTGGACAGACTCCAGCAAAGCTTCCAGACCAAGAACAGACTAGGAAGAAGGAATTAGCCCCTGGAAATCTGATGAATAGCAGTAAAACATTGTCAGATACAGTGCCTCAGGTAGGAAGGTACCCAAAATACATACAACTGGGGGGATGCTGCCTTCTCAAAGTAGATGGTGATAAGCCACTGAGTCGGTTCTAACTCATAGTGATCCTGTACAGGGTTTCTGAGGCTATAAATCTTTGTGGGAGCAAGCAGAAGGCCTCATCTTTCTTCCATAGAGTGACTGATAGATTCAAACCACTGACCTCATGGTTAATAGTCCAGCTCATAATTCACTATGTTACTAGGGCTCCGGTCTCAAAATAGAGTTGGATCCAATGATGTAGATGGAATAAAGGTTTCAGGACCTTCATTTGCTGATGGGCCATGACTCAAAATGAGAAGAAAGAGCTGCAAACATTTATTAATAAACAAAATAACAATTGTGAGGGCAGTGCAGGACTGGGCAGTCTTTTGTTCTCTTGCATACTACTGCTGTGGCTGTATGCCATTGAGTTGGTGTTTGTAATGTTTATAGTTCAGTTTCATATGCTTGCCAGCTTGAGGATGGTAAGTTGGTTCTACTGCCTAAGCCAATTCTAGTTAACAGGAACCACTGCTTGATATATTGTTTTTGTCTGCTGTCGAATGGTGACCATGGTGACCCCATGCAAAACAGAGAAAAATGCTGCCCCATGATTGGCTGTGGGTCAGATTGTTGTACTCAGTAGATTTTCATTGGCTGCTTTTCAGAAGTGGATCAAGCAGGCTTTCTTCCTAGACGACCCTAGTCTGGAAATTCCTCTGAGAGCTGTTCAGCATCAGAGCAACACTCAAGTCTCCACTGACAGATGCGTGGTGGCTGCACGCGAGGGGCATGAGTTGGGATTTGAACCTAGGTCTCCAGAATAGAAAGTGAGCATTCTGCCATGGAGCTCTGGTAGCATAGTGGTTACGAATCGGGCTGCTAACCTCAAGGGTCGGCAGTTCAAAACTACCAGTGGTTCTGCAGGAGAAAGATGAGGCTTTTCTGCTCCCATAAAGATTTACAGCCTCGGAAACCCTGTACAGGGTCACTATGAGTCAGAACCGACTCAACGGTACTTAACAACAACAACACATTCTGCCATGGAACCAGCCCTTTCCTAGAAGACAACGCCTTAACAAATATTGGATTCTTGATTCTGGGGCTGAGTGAAGGATTTGTAAGGGAGAGTAATGCCTGCCTGGGCATGGTAAGGGCAATGGTGTTATTAATGCCAGTCTTTGCTGCTCCTCGTCCAAGCCCTGGTCCTCAGGCTGATCAGAGGAATTCCTGATCTAGGGAGGGGGGTGGGGTAGTAGAGGGCCATACCTGAGCAGATAACCTTGGCTGCCCACGACTGGCGGCAGAGATTGGAGTTGTTGAACCTCCAGGAACAGTCAGAGAGGGTGGACTCTGCCCCGGTGCATGAGTAGTACATCCTGCCCGCCAGCGAGTGGGGCAGTCCCTTGATCACTCTGTTCATGGTCCCACAGCCCAAGGTCCGGCAGAGCACCTCGGCCTCCTGTGAGTACCACTCACTGTCACACACAGTACTCCAGACTCCACGGAAATAGACTTCCACCTGGCCCTGACAGGGGTCAGTGCCCCCGGTCAGGCGCCAGGACTGGTGCTCTGTGGGGAGAGAGGGGGGCGGGGAGGAGACTGTGTCAGGATAATCTGGATTGAAACCAGTCCTCCAGTTCAGCCCCCCACAGCCCTGGTACAGCACTGTAGGATAAGACTGGACTGGTAACCTCAAGATTGGCAGTTCAAACCCACCAGCTGCTCTTGGAAGGCCTATACAAGGAACCAACTCGACAGCACTTAACAACAATAGCCAAGCGGTTTCCAGCTCCGGTGCTCCTCCCTCTTGGATCCACATTTCATCTTCCCTGTCCATACTGACCCTGTTGAGTTGTGTGGTGTTGAGTTGGTTGTGACTCAGATGACCCTACCTGACAGAGCAGGACTGTCCAGGGGGATATTGAAGACTGGCATCTTTACTGGAACAACTGCTAGGTCTTTCCTCCTCCCAAAGGGTCACTGGTGGGTTTGAACACCACCTTTCAGTCGCAGCCAAGAGCTTAACCACTGTGCTACCAGGGTTCCTTCTCCATACCCTATCCTTGCTACTCAAAGTGTAGACCAAGGACCAGCAGCATTAGTAGGCCCTGGTCTCTTGTTAAATATGCAGTATCCTGAGCCCTGCCCCAGACCTACCGAATCAGAACCTGTGTCTTCACAAGAGCCCCAGGGATTTCCATGCACACTGAGGACAAGCATGAGACTGGGCAGAGGCTTGTGGTCTCTCATATGCACGGGGTCTCTCTGGTGATGTCTCTGAACCACATGATCAACCCCGCTCTCTGTTCAAACCCACCAGCTGCTCCTTGGAAACCCTACACAGGGTCGCTATGAATTGGAACCGACTTGACAGCACTTTCACAACAAAAACAACTCCCATGAGCCCTGGTAGTACAGTAGGATAAGCATTGGGCGGCTAATCACAAAGTCAGTGGTTCAAACCCACTAGCTGCCTTGGGGAGAATGATGAGGCTGTCTGCGGCTGCAAGATTTATAGTCTAGGAAATCCTATAGAGTAGTGCTACCCTGTTCTGTAGGCTCACTATGAGATGGACTCTTCTCATGGCCATGGGTTTGGCACAGGGTCCCCTAAATGATTTTTGCCTAGTTTTCCTCTCCCCTAAGGAGCTCTGGTAGCGTAGTGTTTATGAATCAGGCTGCTAATCTCAGGGTCAGCAGTTCGAAACTACCAGCTGTTCCATGGGGGGAAAGATAGGGCTTTCTGCTCCTGTAGAGATTTACAGCCTCAGAAACCCTGTACAGGGTGGCTATGAGTTGGTTCCGACTCCACAACACATAACAACAACAAGGTGGAGTCCTGGTGTGGCACTGTGAGTTAATTCGACAGACTGCAAAGCTGTTTGAACTGCAAGGTCGGTGGTTCAAGCTCACCAGTCACTCCTTGGAAACCTTACAGAGGGTCGCTATGGGTCGGTTTCGACTCCATGGCACTTAACAACAACAACAACTCCTCTCCGCTCCTAATGGAGCCTCTCTAGGGCTATGTCCACATCCCAGCACAAATCACGGGCTTGGCCACCCAGAGCACTGAGGTCCAGGCATGGCACCCACTAACCTGAGCACACCACGCCCGCGTCTTCTTTGTGGCCGCAGTAGCCGGTTCCTGGTTGCCCCGGGCAGTCCCACAGGTAAGTTTCTGCTCCTGAACAGTTCACCTGGTCCCTGTGGATCGGCCCTTGGCCATGGACGAAATGCAAGCCAGGAAGAGCCTGGACCGCCCAACCGCAGCCCATTTGCCGGCACACCACGTGGGCGTCCTCGAGGTCCCAGGTGTCGTCACACACGGAGCCCCACTCTTGGCGCTCCAACATTTCCACGCGTCCTGCGCACCTGCCACCGCCGTCCACCAGCCGCACGGCGCGGTTCTCTGGGGGTGGGGTGGGGGTGCGCCCAGGAGAGGTGTTTTGTTAATGGTGGGAGGAAGAAGAGGGGAGGGACAGGGTGGAGGAGAGGGGTGATTGGAACTGGGCAGGTCGTGCTAGGGGCTGTAGACTAAGATAGGCAGTACTGGGGGCCCTGTTGGGTCTGGGGACAGGGAAGCTAAGGAGCCCCTGGAAACCTGGTATCTTTTTGTGTATGTGGGGGAAGGAGTGGTGATGGAGGTGGGTAGGGAGGGGAACAGGAGTTGGAGACCCAGTTATGATTAGAGACCCAAGATGTCAGACTGGGAACAGTGGGTTCATCTGGATATCTAGTTGGGGTTGAGGGGGTGGACAGCATCTAAGCACTGGGTCTAAGGAAATGGGAGATCCAATGCTGAGGGCCTCCTGGTGTGGAAACCAGAGGTGTTGGCGCTGGTGGCAGAGGACTGGAGGTTGGACAGTGAGGTGAGACTCCAGTGGTCAGGACTGGGGACAGGAGTGAGGAGAAGTGGCTGAAGCCCTGGGGGGTCGAGGCAGATACCACCAGCTCATACCTTCACAGATGACCTGGGCCGCTTTCCCATCGCTGCTGCAGGCGTGGTCCAGCACCTCACAAAGCGGCCACTCAGTGCCCCAGCACCAGATGGCGGGCGCGATCGCCCGTGTGTCGTTCTGAGCCCAGCTGGAGTTGCCCGCGGTGGGCCAGGGGGGCGGCTGCCGGGGAGGCCGGTTGGACAGGGAGGTCCCTTGCGCCCCACCGCAGCCCAGCGCGCGGCACACGGCTTCGGCGGCTCGGCCATCCCATGTCGCCCCGCACACGGGCTCCCAGGCTGCCCGGAGCAGCACCTCCACTGTTCCGCTGCAGCGGCTGCTCCCGTTCACCAGGCGCACGCCTAGCCTCTGTCCTACAAAGCCAAATGTCTGCTGAAGCCTCGGAGAGCCAGGCTCCTCTACCAACCTGCCCCACGATGGTGAACCATGCCCTACAAGGCTCTGGACCTCAGCATTCACGTGGGAAAATGACGTGGCTGGGTCATCTCAGAGCGCTCTTTGAGGATGTCTCTCTGGTTCTCCTTAGTCAAGAGAAGGTGGGGCTCTGAGGTGACCCTAAAGGTCCTGCCTCCAGGGGAACCCTTACGTGCAAGTAGAACAGAATTCTAATTTGGGGTCCTGGCATAATAACATGGGTAGGTACCACGCTTCCCCTGAGGGTACTGCATAGAGTTTGCCAAGGTGACTCAGGGCCCTGGAGGATGTCCCTGAAAGATGCTGGGGTTGGGGACTGTTTCAACTGATGGCTGGCCCCCATTCCTCAGAGTCCTGTCTCTGGGAACTGCCTGCCCACTTTTGCCCAGGGTTGCACCCCCAACAGCTTTGCCCTGAGTTAATCCTTTACAGAAGCACTCGACGGCACGGTCAGTTGGAGCTGCAAGTTCAAACTCAACAGCAGCTCTTCAAAAACCGTATACAGGGTGGCTCAGAACGGACTCAAAGGCACTTAACAACAACAGACTTAATACTGAATACTTCATAATAGGGTAAACAAAGGGCCCAAATGTTTATGTCTTTTATCAGCAGCCTTTCAAAGGAAGACAATTCTACGGTCTCAAAGGAGATCTAATGGTGGAAGTTCAGGCATTGCATCAGGACGTAGAAGAGTTATATGGTATCAGGGAACCTCCCTGGTACCCAGAATGTCTGTGTCCTTTTCCCGCCACCCTGAATGACCACCTACTCCATCTTGAAAAGCTACCTGTGGGCACCCACACACACACACACACACACAAAGATTGCCTCCTTACCTGGCTCCGAGGTTGGGCTCTCTGCCCTGCTGGTGTTGAGCTGGCCAGGTGGGGTTGGGAAGGAATGACCTGAAATGAACCAGCAACAGCCTAATGGATGAGTGAGCTCAAGCGTGGGCAGGTACAGAGCTGCCAAGATGACAGGGGCACCTTCTGAAGTCTACCATGGTTGTAAGGGGCCTTTGGAAAGACGCGGTCCTGGACCTTAGATGTATTTGCCTCATCAGAGTAAGAGAAATCCCCCAACTGTGGATGTGCCATATCTTCCACTTCTACCAATTGCTGGCTCATCCTCAGAGACCAGAGTAGATCAGTGAGGGATACTGTGAGCTTTGGGGTCAGACCCTCTTCCTGGCTGGCTGACCATTGCCAGGTTACTTAACCTCTCTGTGCCCAAGTCCCCATTTGTTAGGGATAACACTTAAAGAAGCATTGTAAGGCTAAAATAAGAAAATATCTGTAAGATATCTGACATATAGAATAGAAACAAAAAATGGTAGTTATTATTTGGAAAAAACAATTTTGTTTAGAGAATTGGAGAATTTCACATCAGACTTTAGAATAATTGGCGCATCCTGGGTTGGAAACCATTAAATGCAAAATGCTTTCAGACACTGAAAAAGTATCATTTGCTGAGTGCTTATTATATGCCAAATCTTTGCAGTTGCTATTCCATTTGCCTTCTGCACACAAGAAGGTAGATATTAGTGGTGGTGGTGTGGAGTCAGTTCTGACTCATAGCGACCCTGTGTAGGGTTTCTAAGATTTTTAATCTTTAAGGAAGCAGAAAGCTCATCTTTCTCCCACAGAATGGCTGGTAGTTGTAGTGAGCAGTCTAATTTGTAACCCACTATGGAGTCCTGGTGTGGCACTGTGGGTTACTGCGCTGGACTGCCAGGTATGTTTGAACCACAAACTCACCAGCTGCTCCTATACAGGGTCACTATGACTAAGGAGCTCTGGTAGCGTAGTGGTTACGAATCGGGCTGTGAACCGTAAGGTCAGCAGTTCGAAACCACCAGCTGTTCTGTGGGAAAAAGATGAGGCTTTCTGCTCCCGTAAAGATTTACAGCCTCAGAAACCCCGTACAGGGTCGCTATGGGTTGGAAACGACTCGACAGCACATAACAACAACAAACAAGAACCACTAGGAGTCCTGGTATGGCGCTGCAGGATAATGTGCTGGACCACAAGGTCAGTTTGAATCGCAAGGTTGGTAGTTCAAACCCACCAGCCATTCCTCAGAAACCCTATATAGGGTCACTATGAATAGAAACCAATTTGACAGCACTTAACAAGAATAACTTGCTCACAGATATTAGTAGTCCCATTTTACAGACTAGGAAACAGGCCCTAAGATTAGAAAATGATTGTCCACATTAGATAACGTCCATTTGTCCTCCCAGAGGTACTCTGCCTTGCTAGGCTAACCTGTTTGTACAAACTCACTGTCTTTCCCGGCCTTTTGACTTCTGTTGGGTTCAGTCAATAGGGAGCTCCAGCAGAGCTAGGAGGGAGGAAGGCGAGTGAAGTCAAGATGAGTTCCACAAGCAGACTGTGTCCCTCGTGTGAAGGTGTGTCCCTCTCAAGGTGGCCCACTTGTTCATGACTGTCTCCTTCCAGGATCCTGGTCCTTGTCTCCTTGGGCCTAGGGTAGCAATAGCTCAGCTGTTCCCAGACCCTGTTTACTGCATGGTCCTTTGTCCCTTCATAAGTGAGTCCTCTCCAAACCCTCATATTTTGAGTGTGACACCTGTTTCCTGCTAGGACTCTAACTATGCATCATCTGAGGCCACCCTGTTAGCAGGTGGCTGAGCCAGGATTTGAACCACTCTGGGCCAGGGTGCTCTGGTTTGTAGATACCCAAAGGGAAGACTGTAACCAGGACCACGGTACTTACAAACCAGCCCCTGGGCCTCTCTTGCAGTCAGACCAGCACCGCTGAAATCTAAGCAGGAGGACACTGCCCTTCTGGGCCCAGGCAGTTCCTCAGAGCTGGTGGGGCTCCTCCAGTACCTCTTTCTCTGTCATAGTGAGGTTTGGAGTCCCTGGGTGGCATGAAGATTAATGCATTTGGCTGCTAACAGAAAGTTTGGCTGTTCCAATCCCCCCAGAAACACCTTGGAAGAAAGCTTTAGCAGGTTACACTGAAAAGCCAATGGTTGGTTGAGCTCTGTATGGGCACAGTTCTACTCTGACACACCTGGGGTTGCCGGGGTCGCAGTCAGCTGATGGTGTTGTTTTGACTGTGATGTTAGCAGTCACGTCTTTCAGATACAACTGCTACAAGATGGAACAGGATGTTGACCCAGCTGGATTTTGCATGAATGACAAACAAACCTCTTTTGTATTATTGTTATTGTTAAGTGCCATTGAGTCGGTTCCAACTCATAGCAACCCTGTATAGGGTAGCCAAGGAGCGATTGGTGAGCTTGAACTGCCAACCCTGTGGTTCAAACCGACTTTGCAGTCCAGTGTGTTAACCCACAGTGCCACACCAGGACTCTTTTGTGGTAGGCATGAAGATCTTGGGGGCCTGGCCTGATATCATGGCTGCCACACATTCTCATTGCCTCATCTGAGAAGACTCTCGGGTCGCATCCAAATGACTCATATTTGAGTGCACACACCCACATGTGTGCACACACGTGTGCTTGCACATACCTGCATGTGTCTGCAGATAGAGCCTTCCTACAAGCACCTGGCTGGGCCACTCCATCATCCAGACAGGAAGTTGTCAGCCATTAATGGACCCTCCTCATTAACTCTCTGGTTGGCTGCCCAGCCAGACCCCTGAGGGGAAATGACTCAGAACTCAGAGCACACACTTCACTGCTAATGTAATATTCAGAGAAGGGATTCAGACACCCACAAGTTAGGATTTCAGAATCCTGGTTGCCACGGCAACCATCCCAGGGCTCCCCAAGTAGTGCCTGGAGTAAAGACAAGGTTGTTAGCTGCTGTGTGTGATTGTGTGTGTTATTGTGTGCAACCGTGTGTGTGTGTGTCCATGTGTGAGTGTGTGACCATGCGAGAGTGCACATGTGTGCGGCTGTGTGTAACACGTGTGTGTGTTGAGACATGTGCATGGCTACATGTGGATGTGATTTGTGTGGCTTTGACTATAATTGTGTAAGACAGTGCATGCCTGCGTGTGAGGTGATTATGATTAGGTGTAACTACGTGTAAATACGGAAGACCAGTGATGAATTGGTGCATTTGAATTGTTATGTTGGAAAAGAATATTAATGGTACCATGGACTATCAGAAGAACAAACAGATCTGTGCTGGAAAAAATACAGCCAGAATGCTTCTTAGAAGCCAGGATGACAAGATTTTGTCTCTTAGACTTCGGACATATTACCAGAAAGAACCAGTTTCCTGGAGAAAGACATGGAGGGTCAGAAAACAGACTCCCAAGGAGACGGACTGACACAGTACAGCGACATGGGTTCAAGTTCATCAATGCACAGAACAGACAGTGTTTCATTCTGTTGTGCAGATGACTCGATGACACTTAACAACCACATGTGAGTGTATGTATGACTGCATTTGAGTGTGGTTGTGTGTGTGACTTACGTGGGTGTGACTGTATGTATGATTGTGTGTGTCTGTGTGACCACGTAGACATGTGGTGGATTCTTTCTGAGCTAGGAAAGCAGCATAAAGGCAGACATGCTTCCTACTAGACTAGAACACCTGGGCAGGCCAGACCCAGGGCTAGCTCAGCGCTGTGCTCCCAGGGTACCCAACATAGACTAGGTTCATTAACTGAGTGAATTAAAGAGCAAACAGGAACCGCCAGTTCCCAGGACAACTATCACTAAGGTGTTTTATTGATGTCAGATATACTCCAGGTTTTGTTCTGTCTTCCACAGGCATTTCCTCTAGAAACTACAGAAGGTCACTAAGAGTTGGAACTAACTGGACGGCAGTAATCCAAGAAGGAACCCTAATTTTTATGTTCTCTCGCTTCTGGGCTGCAGGGGCAAAAGTAGAACTACCTCCCACCTTCCTTCCGCCTAAGCCCAGTGCGAGATCTGTGTTGTGTCTCCCAGACATCATTACCACCTCAACCCAACCAGGGTGCTTCCACCTCTCGTTACACTGGCTTACTTGTTTGGGGTACAATAAATGAATTTCAAAAGGAAGTTTGACACTTGCCCTATACTTATGGATGTTGTTGTTGTTGTTAAGTACCATGGAGTCGGTTCCGATTCATAGTGACCCTGCACAGGGTTTCCGAGGCTGCAAATCTTTACGGGAGCAGAATGTCTCATTTTTCTCCCGTGGAACAGCTGGTAGTTTCGAACTGCCGACCTTCAGGTTAGCAGCCTGATTCATAACCACTGCGCTACCAGAGCTTCTACTTATGGATGTAGTAGTTCAAAATACCAACCAAGAGGGAAGGAATCTTCACATCAAAGATCATACATATCCCCTCTGTACACAGGGGAAATATGAAGGCATGAAGTGTCTAGCTTACAAAGTATTCAAGTGAGAATTTAGTTTCAGAGTGTGCAGGGGAAGGTAGAATCTCCATTTTCAACTTATCTAGATGGGTCTGGTGAAAGGAGATGGGGATAAGATCCTTATGATTCAATAGTGAGTAATTGTTATGACTAATTGCGATTGTCACAACTGTAAAGGTAGAAGATTTGTAACATAAAGGGGAGTAGTTAATCTTATATTCCAGGAACAGAGGATCCTAGGGCCATCAAGGGAGAAGAGTATGAGCAGAATGTGGGACCTTATCCAGAGAAGCAGCGACACCAAAGATGGAGGCAGAGATGATGACATGGAGAGAGGGAGCTGCTGAGGACTCTGGACTCATGGAAAGAGACAGGCTGTGTGCTGGTGGCCAGGAGGCAGGCTTGTAGAATGTGCTCCTGGGTTTTTAAATGATTATACATTCCTGAGTGTTTCTGTGTACATCAAAAAACAAAAACAAAAAAATCCCCAGAGGGAATAGAAGTAACTACTGTTGAATGATGATGCATGGAGGTGATTGTAATCATGGCAATGATACAAAATATGACAGGATGAGTGTAAAGCTGATGTTCTCCCATGTAAACTATCACTCAATGCAC